TAAACAAAAAGTAACATGGTTAAATACATTACCAAAGTGCATAAGTTTTGACGTTGTATCTTGGTTAAACATTCTAATCCTAGCTACCACTAAAGGGGATCAATTAAGATGCACTGTCCTACTTAAGGCATACAACATGGGTGGCAGATTTTATAAATTAATTAAATTTATGTGTTATCGGATTGATTACCAACTAAGTGATAAGGATTTACTAACGGAGAAATAGTAGTAAATAAGGTAGGAATTTAATCTATATTTCAGGGTAGATCTCACTCATCATCTTCGCTGGTTCACACTTTATCGTTTGGCCTAACTTGGATATCACAGAATTACCAGTATGATAATTCAGGTTATGGTTCCACTTGATTCGAATAAGACTTTGTTGAGATACTAATGTTCTAAAACCTGAAGAACAAGATCCCTATGGTGACCAACTCTATGTGCGTCTATCAATTCACCTGCTGTTGTGGAGCTAGGTACATTGGTTGTTCGACTTGAGTTTTGTCTAAGGGGGTACAAGAACACTATCCTACATGGTTGCGTGGGGTGGGGTGGGGTGGAAGTGGAGCAATAAGAAGCGTGATCATTGAACATTTAGTCGATAATGATCACACCATCTCTATAGCCTCTACTTTTAAAGTTATCTACAAGACAAGAAGTAATTTATCCAAATCATTACGCACCTGACTCGTCTGTATTGCTGAAGCTTTGGTTATCGAAACAGAAAAGCCAGATCTCTGCATGCAGAAAAAGTTCGTTCAACCCATACGATTTTTGTGGTCTTAATCCCTCTATGCTAAAGTATGGTAATCCCTAATCATATTTTGTCACTTCCTTTTTTTCATTTTGTCTATTCAATTTGTATACTCTTCCTTTATTACGTTGCTACTATTGTTACTACTAATACTATTCTCACTTTGAACTGTCCTCGGTATTATTTCACTTGTTCCACTTGTCATTCTAAATCAATTCTATTTTGCAATGTTAAATTCTATGCTATCAAATTTCACACAATATTACGTAACGTTTTCATTTTATTCGATTTGCCTACTAATCGTATAATTGCACACCCATTCCAACTTCTATACACCCTACGAATTCTCCTATATATGACACTAATTGTTTTGACACTTGACATTTAACTATGATTAGAATTACAAACATTTCACTTTTAATTGCATTTCATACTACTATTATTATTTTGTGCATTCACAACTATGATTCGATTCCTTCACCGGATATAATTTCTTATAATGAAAACCATATGCATATACGATTGTACAGCTAGATAATAAAATTTTCTGTTTACGAGTTTGACTTAGGATTGATATCGGTTAGAAAACCATAGAAAATCAGCACTGTCGTGCTGGACAGGTGTCTCGCCGTAGTTTGAGAATCATCGACAATACGCAGTTACTAGGGTTCAATGGTTGTCTAATTTATTGTTGGTAAATGGATGATACATTCATCCTTTTCGAAGATGATTTGGACAGAAACGCAGTGATATCTCATTTCAGTCAAGAAAATTCAGCTATCGACTTCCCGTTTAAAGAATAATTCCAAAAGAAAATTGCCCTTTCACACGTCCTGCTAACAAAAAGACCACATAGTGATACTGAAAGTAATCTTCATAGAAAAGTGCTTGGAACGGCCAATCTACATATTTTCACAGCTTTTTTCCCTTCCAGGATGAAAGAAATTTGGTAAAGACTTTCAGCTATTGGGGTCAGAGATATCTGTGAGCATAAGGTTGTATACGGCACGTTAACTGAAAACAGCTGGCTTGAATAGTTCATCATTGAACCAATGACCAAGAAGCTGCGAAGGAATCCTTCTGTTTCTTTTAACAAAAACTCTATATATACATATATGTATACGGCTACAGGTCAAGTGTGATATGTTAAATCATAACCGACAAGTTAAGGAAATCGATTCAAAGGTCGTTTAATGCCAGTAAGCTGCAGGTCATATTTTCCAGACAGCCAGTTATGGTCCCAAGGCTGAATAAGCAAGTAACTAGGTTAGCTACCTCTAATTGTATCTAACAATTCAACTTAACATGTGCAGTCTGCTATATTGCCCATTACACTGGGAACCTAAATTTTTCTGCTCAGGAACACCTACCAGTGTAGCTAAGTAAAGGTGCTCTTAATACCAATCAACAGTTGTATATTAGATCACTTCGTCCAGAAGGGCCACAAAGATAGCTAGGTTACAAAGTTGGCATTGAAGAGTCTTTTTAAATCATCTGTCGAAAATCGAATAAATTACCAAAGACCTTTAGATACCGAAATGAACCCAGAAACAACAGCGGACTTGATGACGCCATTGTTGGAGAAGGTGTGGAAAGAGGGCAAAGTACCTGGGGATTGGAAGAAAGGATACTTATTCAAACTACCAAAAATAGGAGACTTAGGTCAATATAAAAACTGGCGCGGAGTTATACCCGGGTCCATCTCAAGCAAAACACTAAGCCGCATCGTCCTGGAGAGAATCAAACACGCTAACCTGGATGCAAAACTTCGACCGGAACAGGCCGGATTCAGGAGAAACAAATCATGTATTGATCGAATCGCCACTCTACGGATCATCATTGAACAAAGCTTGGAATGGCAGTCACCTCTCTATCTCAACTTCATCGACTTTGAAAAGGCCTTCGACAGCGTCGATCGAGAGGTCATTTGGCAACTACTTCGCTACTACGGGGTCCCATCGACAATTATACATCTCATCCAACAGTTATACGACAATGCTGCATGCCAAGTAATCCACAACGGGAAACTTACGGCAGCCTTTGAAGTGAGGACGGGAGTAAGACAAGCTGGCTGCCAACCATCGCCAATGATTTTCCTGATTGCAGTAGATTGGATAATGCGACAGACAGCAGCGTGAGGACTGGCATAAAACGGACCGACACAATATACTTGGAGGATCTGGACCTCGCTGATGATATATGTCTGATTTCCCACAAACTAGAAAATATGCAAGTGAAAAGCAACGAGTTGGAAAAAGAAGCACCCAGAGAAGACAGGACTTCAATTCAGGTGAACAGAGAGAAAACAGGGGTGGTGATGAAGATTCCTGGCCAACACCAACAGCCACAACAACAACAGACAACAATCAGCCAGCATAAATGGGAGGAACCTGAAAGAAGCAACCTCCTTTACCTACCTACCAACCTGGGAAGCATCGTTTCAACTACAGGCGGACAAAACTGACGAGGATATCAAAGCAAGGATCATAGGGAAAGCAAGACAAGCTTTGATTACTCTCAAGTCCGTGTGGAGGTCAACAGCACTCAGCATGAAAAATGAGATCCGGATTTTCAACTCCAATGTGAGGTCAGTGCTACTGTACGGATGTGTTAGATACTTGGTGTGTCATAAAGAGCATCTCAAACAAACTATAGACCCTCATCAACAGCTGTCTTCGCTAAATACTCAAGATCAGATGACCGGCCAGAAAAGATCAGCAACAGCGATCTCTGGTAATGAGTGAACCAACCGGGAACTGATTGTGCAACAAATAAGCAGGATGAAACGGAGGTGGATTGGTGGACATACTTTGAGAAAACCATCAAGTGACGCCACTAGACAAGCCACTGCTCGAGTGGAACCCTAAAGGGAAGCGGCGAGTTGGTCGTCAGTGCGAGGGTGACTTGGAGGAGGTCATGTTAATAGGGAATGAAAGTATGTGGGGAGACTCGGAGCGGGATGAAAAAGTTGGCAGAAAACCGAAGGCAATGGAGACGCGCGGCTGAATCCCTATGTTCCTCTAGGAATAAAAGGATATAATAATAATAATTTAGATACCGAACATTCCAAACAACAGAGACCATTTCAGCTCGTTTAAATCAGTCGGAGCTCTGAGTGCCACAGAAACAGGCCTAGCCGTTATCACTATTCTGGCTTGGTGTCGAACCTATAAATTCGTAAAATCTGTCTAACTTCCCTTAAGTTATCTGAAAATCAATCAGTTTAGTGCTATATTAATTCTCATTATCTCTCTCCCTTACTAATACTTTTAAAATGTAATTCCCCGTTGATACTATTGATTCAGTGTAATGTAGAACAGCATTAATATTATTATTAACAATAATTCTTTGATCATTGTGGTCATATAAATGTAGGAGTTGATGACGAATTTATCGAGTAAAATATTCTTTGATCATTAATCAGTCTTATATAGTTAACTGGAATCTTCAATCATTTAAAGTACTTTACAATTGAAAAAGATGTTAAAACCAGTTTACAGTTTTCCTAGGTTTATTTTAATAGATGATTAAGTAAATCATTAATCTTCACCGCGTGTCAGTGATTCACTGGCAGAATGCTCGTCAACTATGTACGATGTGAGGAATGAATCCTCAACCGATGCACTCTTTAACGTCCTTTAGTCAGTGATAATCCTGAAAATTAGTTATTGGATTGAATTTTTGATTTTCCCGTCGATGGATTGGACCGAAGTGCTCGGTCTCAGGTTGACATGTCGGCTTCTTGTGCAGATGCTTCGACGATGTCTGTGGATTTGATTTGTGTACAATTGGTGGATGGTGGCTAGCAGTGGAATCCAGCATAAACATTTCGTCCTATTTGGAACTCGTCAATTGGATGTCTCTGCATTCCGCAGTGAAGCCGACATATCAACCTGAGACTGAGCACTTCAGTCCAATCGATCGATGGGAGAATCTATAATTGAATTAAATAATTAATGTAACCCATTGCACAAGAGGTGGCTGTCGTGGCCCAAATGGTCTAGTGGATAACGCATTGACGTTTAAAACTGTGGGCTCTGGGTTACAGCCTCGCTGGAAACATCATGATTCACTGTGGAATGCAGGGACATCCATCTGACGAGTCCCAAATAGGACGAGATGCGCATCCTAGATTCCACTGCTAGTCACCACTAGTCTGACAATTAACTTCAAATTACATGCCCAAACATCGCTGAAGTCGTTCAAGGCGAATAGTATTTACAATGGTTAGCCAGTGTTCACTTACCTTTGTTGCAAGATGTTTTTCTTTCTTTACAGTCAACTTCGCCTGGTTCTCAGACTGACACCAGATATAACCAGGCTGTAGTATCCATATCTGTTCATCAGATTCTTTTCTGTTGGTGGATAATTCATTGCTTTTTGTATGCGGAGATTTTGATGACAACTGTTTATTTACACTATTATTAACATTATGATTATTTGGTGTCCGCTCAGCTGATAAATTTGAATTCATGCCTTTAATAACAACATCTGGTTGAATCCAATAGTCACCATTAGTATTACTGCCAAGTTTATTATCCTTCATATAAATAATATCTGTTGTCGAGTTTGTAAATCCATTTGATTCACTTAACTGAATCATTGGAAGTGTTTCATCCATTTCTATTACTTCTTGAACAGTTGATGTTGTCTGTGAATGTGATGGATATGAAGTGTTTATCCGATTGGATTGTTCTAATTCATGCAATGAATAACTTTCATTTTCATTATCTTCTTTTCGCTCGCTTTTTTCATAACTTTCTTGTTCAATAGTTTCACCTTCTTCTTCTGTTAAAATATTTGTTTTATGTTTATTTATATGTAAGGCTTTTTTAAATAAATTTGGCAGTGTTTTTAAAAAAATATTATGACCTTTTGTGTTTCTAGTAAAATAATTCACTGATAGTGTTTCATTTAATGTCTCATTTGATGTATGTCTTAGAAATATTGACGGTGATGACCTAAAACAAAGAAGAAATCAAAGTACAACAAAAAAAATGTACAACAAGTAAAATAAATAAATTATTGTAGTGATTTGGTTGATTGGTTACAGGATTTCATCATGAGCTGACATTGGTTAGAGAACCATAGGAAAACCAACTGGGACTCTTAATCAGTACGCACCCTTTGAGGTTTGAGCTCGCCTTTTAACCAGAAGGTACTGGGTTCCAACCTTGATGGTGGGTGCGTACTGATGAAGAGTCCCTAACTTGGACGAAACAACTGGTCGGCGATCACTCCCAGGTTTTCAAATAGTTCTCTAACCAATGTTAACTCACGATGAAATCCTGTAACCAAATAAATATTTTACCAAAAACAGCACACACAAATGATAACTAATCATTCTAGCAAATATATGATAAAATGGGAATTAATTAACTTGAGCTGACACCTTTGAACAAATTATTTTAGGGATTCAGTTATGCCTCACATCTACTATCTTTATATTCCAAGGTAAATATATATATAGACAAACAGAAGGTGAAGCAATGGGATCACCAATATTCCCTATCGTAGCAGATATATTAATGGACGGCTGGGAAAGTAGTGCTCTTAATACATTTAATCCTACTTCAAAAATATGGTGGTGATATGTGGATGACACTTTTACTCACAGTGTTAAAAACAGAACATATCTCTAGCTTCTTGGCACATATAAACTGACTAGTACAGGGATTAAAATTCATATTTGAATCGGAAAATGAACAAGGAGAATTAGCTATGTTAGATTGTAAAATGAAACGAATAGAAGAAGGTCAACTACACACTAGCGTTTGTAAAAAACCAACGTATTTTAATAGATATTTAGACTTTAATTCGTCTCATCCGTTAACTGTCTGTGAAGGCAGGCTTAGTGAAATGTCTATCAAACCGAGCCATAGCTCTGAGTAGTACAAGAAAAGACCTAAATGACGAAATAAAACAGATAGAAGAGGCTTTGGTGTTAAATAACTATCCTTTAAAATTCATTAGGAAGATCGAAAAAGGCTAAACGAAAAATAAAAATAATTGTGAAACTATTAATAATATCATAAATAAGAGAGAATATAAGTCATCGACAGTTATGCTATATAAAGAGGGGATATCTGAAACCCTACGTAGGATTCTAAATAAAGCAGGAATTAGGGTGGCATTTAAACCTACAAAGCTGTGCAGGCTGAAGGACCCAGTTGACCCAATTAGACAAATTATTTTCTTTATTAATATTATTTATATTATTATTTATATATATATATATAATTTACAAAATACCCTGCAATGACTAAGAGGTGAACTACATAGGTCAAACTAGTAGGTGAGGGGTAGTCAGATTGTCAGAACATAAGCATTTAGCTATTGTTAGAATGGTTGATCCCACGATGTTTAGTGATTTAGAAAAAAGCTCAGCACTACATTACACTGCATGCATTAAACACACCCTGCAATGACTGTGAGTTAAGTCAACTACAAAGGTAAAACTATTAGATCGGGGGTAATCAGACCGTTGGAACATAAGAATTTAGCTAAGATAAGAATGGTTGACCCCGAGAAGATAAGTAATTTAGAAAAAAAGCTCAACAATTGCACTTCACGCATTAGCAAACAACCACACAATAGGGTGAGAGAGGGTTAAACTTCTAAAAAGTAATCTAACTAGGTTCAGAGAGAGATTGATTACTGAATCCGTATTATTAGAGTCTACACCCAACACATGCAATAGGAATGATTCATCACTCATACCCGAAATATGGAAAATACTACTACCAATCAAATCAAGTGAAAATCAAGTGAAAAACAATGGAACTATATAAATGAAATTAGGAAGTCGTGTGAGTAGTGCCTTGATATAATTATGAGCAGTAATAAATTGTGCTCGATACGTGGTCATCAGTAAACATTACTGTATAACACTGTGAGACTTTATCAAAATGAAATATACCCATAATGGAATTACCTCACATATTTTAAAGTAAATATTTCATTGAATGTCTGTACAACGGAATAATTGTTCGGAAAATCCCTCATCAACGATCTACTTCAGATGTTGCTATTTATTAAGAAATTCCGACTGACTTTGCAATCATCATCTTCTTTTCTCCTACTCGGCGTAGGTGATGAAAAACATCTGTTGACTTAATCCTTATTATTTGCCTTTGTTCCTGTTAAATGCCTAATGCTTTCAATGCTCCTCGTTGTGGTTATCTGGTGATGATCTTGATAATGTTTTGTTATCCAATGTGATTCTGTATAAATTAGTCAAAGCCACTGCGATCTGGACTGTCTAGAGAAACTGTCTGGTGCAGGATTCAGATGGACATAACTTTAATTCCATCTTGTTAGGAATATTATGCTTGAATCTCAGGCACTTCTTATGATTGATTTTGGTTAAATAATTCAGTTGAATATTAATTACTTTTTGTCCTGGAGAACCTAGCAGATCTTTACAGCCGATAACAGAACTGTTGAGGTGATTTTGCATGTTGATATTTATTATGTTTTTTGAATAGTACCATATAATTTGTTTTCGGAAATAAATGTCGTTTTTATTACCATCAGGATATTTCTGTACTGTACATGTGAATGAATCAAAGAAGTTCTTGTCAGCAGTATGCAAAGTTTGACTTCCTGTATTCAGATCTTCTTACATTTGGATTGCATAGGCCTTAGACATTCGGATGGTTGGAAACTACTCTAGCCCTTTCATTTAACTTAGATAGAATTCCAGACTTAACTGTTGTCAATATTTTGTTATCAATACTAACCTTTTGTTTGCTGTCTCCGTTCTACTGTTACATAATATCCGTTTGATATACTTGTCTCTGTGCTCTTTTAACAATGCTCAACTTTTCTCGACTTTGTTTTCACACTACTCAACCTTTAATCTACAATTACTAGTATTCGACGGTCATGGTAACAATGTTTTTTAAATCATTTTTATTTATTTTGATTATAGCTTGATTTAACACTGTATTTTTAGTGCAAGTATGAAACTGTCAGCATGCAATATCGGTAGCCTAAATTTTACAGGCTGACTATTGATATCAGATGTGCTCCGGCAGGGGATCGAACCCCGAACCATGTGTATAGTTGACGATAGTCCTAACCGCTGTGCTACCGAGGCACCGATGCAATTTGCTTAGTCTTCATAGTTTTGGGATACAGTGATGATGTAAGCCTCACTCCAAACTAATTTATTCTTATGCTTTGTTTGGCGGACTGAATAAAAAACAATAAAAGCCATTTGAATGTTCTAGATTTCAGTTGAATGATTTCAGGATCGGAAACAAACCCTAATAATAGTACTAAATGCATTTACTAGCTACTAAAAAATAAATAACCAAGTAACATCATAGTTTTGCTTCAGATAATAAAGAAAGAAAACTTTCTAATGTCATTATTATCAATCCTACTTTATTCGGATGCGAGAGTTCGTTTTATTGATTTTACTTTATGTAAAACTATTGGAAAAAGATCCTTAAGCCGAAGCAGATATGGTGATACAACTGTCGTAAAGGGTTTGAAAGAAGGAAAGGTACTAAGTGATTGATTGGAAGGAAGGCTAACTTATCAAACTACCAAAAATGGAGACTTCTGCCTCTGTAAGAACTAGCGTGGAATCAGGTTCTTATCGACACTGAGAAAAATATTAAGTTACGTCATGTGATATCCCTCTCAGAACAAGATGAATTCAGCAGAAGAAGCAAATCATGTGGGGATCGAATTGCAGCAACACCCATCAATATCGAGTATGGTATAGAATAGAAGTTAGGTGCCTACCTCAAATTCATCCAATTTCAGAAGGCCTTCGAGAGTGTTGACCATGAAGTGATTTCTAAACTACTCTGACAGTACAGAGTATACAGCGATATAAGCCTTAATCAACCTCAGAGTAACCTCTGAAATGTTGACAGGAGTGAGAGGAAACTGTCTACTACCACTGGTGATATTCTTAACTGTGGTGGACTGGATCGTACAAGCCATCATATGGAGGGAGAAGACAGGGATACGTTGTATCGATAGGAAGACTCCAGAAGACTTACAGGCGAAAACCAGTAAGATAGCAGAAGAAGCAGAGAGTGAAGGCAGGACTTCAGGTGAACACAGAAAGATGAAGGTGATGAAGATAACCGACTGGCCAACAATAACAGCAGGCATCAATCACTACCAACGGGAGAAATTTGAAAAACAGTTACAACCTCCACTTAGATAGGTAGCCTCGTTCCAACTACAGGCAGTCAGTACGGAAGAGGATGTCAAAATCAGAGTCTAAGAGGCAGGCATAACCTCTGGAAATCTGCTCCATCCAGTCAGCATAAAAAACGAAAATCGGATTCTCAGTACTAATGTTAAGTCAGTGTTTATGAATCAGAGACTTGCCATGCGCGACAAAAAAGCATTTCCAACATCCTGTTGCAGACTTTTATCAACAGCTGCCTTAGCTGATCATGAAGAATTAGCAGCAAGAAACGCTGAGAACGAACAAACGAACCAAGGAGCTATTGCTCAAAAATATTCAGAAAAAAGTAGAGATGGATCGAACACCCACTGAGGATACCGCTGAGTGACCTCTCACGCCAGGCCATCTCTTAGATAGAGCGAAGGGTTAGGCCAGGGTTCGAGTGTGACATGAAGGAGGTTGTGTGTGTGTGTGTGTGGAGGAGATGAATGATTCTGAGCAGTCATGAGGCCGACTGAACGGTACTTTAGAGATCAGGTCAAAATGAAGCGGTGTAGCTGAAACCATATATTTCATTTGGAACCCAAGGAAATAATAATAATAGATAATAGAGGCTTTTTAGTTTCAAAATATTGAACAACATCCACCCTTCGCTTACCTTTACTTGTGAAGAGGAGCAGGAGAATAAACCACATTTTCTGGATATCTTGCTAAGTGGGAGAGAAGATGGGTCACTTGGGAGAAGCGTGTATAGAAAAAGCTTATTCACAGGACAATACACACACAGCTCCCTAGTTACGTGCC